TTTTTTTTTTTTTTTTTGATAGTTTTGATTGTGTTTGTGCGAGGCCTTCTTTCTTATCTCTTTGGAGAAGTCTGTCAACCTTTAGCAGGTGCAGTGTACAGATAGTGCCCAGTACCTGTATGTCACCTTAGTGTAGGTAATTCTGGGAACACTGCCAGATCTTTTGGAGGACTTGCTCTTAAAGAACCCATCCAGATAACTATCAAGGTCTTCACTCTACAAAGAGGGATTTTGCGTTTTTGTGGTAATGCAGCAGGTCACAGAGTAATTAAACGCCACATGCCAATGTATGGCTTCATCACTGTGAAACTATGAATTGGATCATTGGATATATTAAATACCGAAGATTATTGAATTTGTAATTAGTTATCAGTCAGGCAAATTAATCGGCGCATATTCAACAATTTTTAGATTATCAGCAGGATTTTCTTGCCATTGTTTAATTTCCAAAATATACTGACAGCCTTGTCTATAAATAAACTTTTAATTTAACTTTTAACTATTAATGAATTGAAATAAATTTGGGTGCATATCTTTGCCATTAATAAATTGTATTAAGTATGTATGTACAGTATATATTGGCATGATAGGGTTGCCTGTATCAATACCAGTGAAACATGTATATACTCAATATATTGAAGTCTGGAGTAATGGCTGCCGAGAATTCAAAATTAAAATGGCTGTAATAATTAAATTGTAATAATATTTTACAATATTACTGTTTTGACTGTATTTTTTTGATAAAATAAAAGCAGCCTTGGTGAGCACAAGAGACTTATAAAAAAACATAAAAAATCTTACCGCCTCCAAACCTTTGAATGGTAGTGTCTATATAAGTAAATATTGCTTATATTTTAAAAAGTGATTTTTCAGTAAGTAATAAGGAACAATTTTAAATTATGAACAGGGTGTTTTCCTCTATTTTCAAAAAATTTTTTTTTTCTGTTTTATTATTATTATAAACATAATAGTCTGTGGCAGGCCTATTAGGCTTAATACACAGCTTGATGCACAGAGCTCATATTTTGACACAAACCATATTTTTCCCCCCAACTGTTTACATTCACTTATTTACATGAATAACTCACCAAGAGACATTTTAAGTAAGAAGTACATTTGACCATTTGCACACATTGCCTTGAGGCATAAACGTATAAATATGCATGTGAGCATTAGAAAGCAGCCGGCTGTCAGTCAGACAGACAGCCGTTGGCTACAGAATTAAATCTGCACTCTGTATTTCCAAACCTACAGAAAGGCTGAGATTGCTGTATTTATTTATGTATTTATTTTAGTATTGATTTGGTACCAAAGTAAAGGTCGTTTTGAATTCCCTAATTGCCTTTATTTTAGCCATTGGCCATCCAGCTCTATATATATCAACATGAAAAATTGAATCATTTCAAAAAAGCTTTTAGAAACAATTTTTTTAAGTGCTTAGTATTCAGTATGTGTGTTATAACTTCATTTTATGGAGACATTATGTTAAATTTTCCATTATTGTTTTAACCTGACAGAGAGAAAGAACGAGAAGCGAACCAGGAAGCAACTTTCAGAGAGACATGGCTCTTTTTTGGATGTCGCCACAAAGACAAAGATTTTCTTTTCAGGTATGTGCATTCGCAATATCACAAACATGCATAAAATCACTTTCTTAATTTGTTTGTCTTATTTTCCAGAATAAACATCAAAACAGCCTTAAATCGATATAAATGTACTTGAGAAGCAATTGTGTTTATTATATGAGCGGTGTTCAAAAAATATATCTTGAAGTGTTTTTTTTTTCTTGTAAGAATAAACCATTATATTTTGTTAGATTTATGCTTCTAATACAATAATTAGGCTAAGAAAAAAACTTAATTTTAAGATATTCTCTAAAAAAGCTGTATTATCTGATGCAATCTTGTGTCCCATTGTTTTAAGGATGTTTAGATATAAAAAAAAAAATACTGATTTAGAAAATGTCTTTTTGCTGTTCAGCCACACGCAACCATTATTCCATCGTCCCCCTTTGCAACTTGATCATATGTTATCTCCATAACCTCAGAGTATTTTTCACTTGATCTGCCAGCTTCACACTGGCTCTTGGCGTCATCTTCTCTTGGTTGCTATCAGCCAGAGGCTCCTGTTGCACCGTCCTTGAGAGTAATGATAGGGAAAGCAATGTAATTAAAGTACTCCCTCTGAGAGTATGGGGCATATGATACGAGACATTATATAAGATGATTGGGGTCTGGCTCTCCCATAAGCACAGAGTCATAACTCACACACAAGGTCCTGAAGTAATGACATTGGAGCCTGGATTGGTGAGTATTAAGTGTGTGTGTTGTGATGGCGGGGCGGCACACAACGTTGTATCAGTGCTTGCCTCTATTTGACAGAAGAGCTAATAACAACAAGATCAAAGTCAAGGTCCAGACACACCATTTGAATCTATCTTTGCCTTCAGTGGTCACGAACATCAAGGATTGTATTCATTAATGTTTTTATTCACGTTGGTCACACTGTGGTTTCATTAATCATTTTTTTTCTCTACATTGATTAAGACGATCAATGAAATGTGCTTTGTGTTGTTCGGTGTAACACCCTCATTGTCTGCTACGCTTTAATGAGCAAAGTAGAAAGTACCTGTGGCATTTGAGAGCGACCGAACTTGCCTTGCAAAACTCAGTACTCACTGAAAAACAAAAAAGCAAACCGGCTAGCCATCAGGCAGTCTGCTAAAGAAAACAAGGCATCTCCAATCAATTCTAATCAAACATGATACTTACAAAGACTATAAAATACCCAAGACATGTCACTCGTATAGTTTTGAATGGGGAAAAATGCAATGCTCAATATGGCCACTCTATCGAACGAAGCCCTGCCTTCTGAGTAAAAGAGCCAATCGCTAATCTGTAAAGTCAGCGTGTCACTGCAGCTGCCGTTAGAAGTCCCGGTTGCTATAGAAACAGTCATCATTCTGAGACGTGAGCTCAGGACTGCGCATGCACACTGGCTGGTCTAGCCTGAAAAATAAGATTATTTTAAACACTATTTGAGCAAAAGAAACAACATTTATGAGACAGTTATTGTCAGATTTCATTGGTGATTTCAAATATGAAATTTAATCTTAAACTTGGCGAACAATTCTGGAGAATATGATGTTTCCCCATTCAAAGATATTGGAGCTGCACTTTCATGCCCGTGAGGCATTTCAAAGATGGCCCCCGAGTGACATGATTTGCCTTAAAGGGACTTTGATACTTATGAGTGTTAAAAAGCAGGAATCAGCCTCAATCAGTGTTGTTGAAATAAAGCACACTCGTCTCGGCCCCCCGTCACCAATGAGCCTCTTTGTTTTTATGGATTTGGATTACATGAAGAGGGAAGCGGGCGGATTAGATTCTGGAAAGGGGACAAAGGACCACTCAAGTCTGTATTCTTTGTAAACATTCAATATCTGTCACCAGAAAGCCTAGAACAGCTCATCTGTTAAGATGGACGTGGCTCCCAGATGGTGCATGCAAACATATGTGCTCAAAAACTTTAAAAAACAAAACCATTAAGCATGTACTATAAATAGACCTGATTGTTAATGACAAGTAGTTACATAATTTAGATGCTGAATTGTTCACTTAGGTTAGTTAACCTGCAGTAATCTTATCACCAAATTAACACTGCACACAGGTGGCACAGACGCACTTCTGAAGTGGCACTGAGCATTTTAAATACATTTACACAGCAGTTACAACTGTATACTTTGAATAGGCGTGTGGGTATGGGTGTGTAATCTTTTGCACACCACTACTCAGATTTTCTTCAGAACCTTAAAAAAAAAAAAGTTCTTTGGATTCAGATAATTGAAAACTCTGTTTACATGGTGATATCTTATTCAGAGAACATGTCAATACTCAGGTGTTTGTGATCCATGTAAACAGCTATTTTAAGATGTTGTGTGCAAACGCTTGCTTCATCCATTACATCACCCATCTGTTTGGATTTCATTCTGTCATCCTTCTGTAACTTCAGTGGAATTTTTTAGTGGAAATATGCATGAAAAGTTGTATGACAAAATTTGTATGTTATAGTTCACCCAAAAATGAAAATGTTTTCATTATTTACTCACCCTCAGATTGTTACAAACCTGTAAGACACCAAAGAAGGAATTTGAAAGACTTCCATGCAGTTCCAGTGAAGGGGGATGTGAGAACATGTTCATGTGAACACCAGCTTTGTCCAATTTGTGAACAAATCATTCTTAGTCATATAATTTCAGTGAACTGATTGTACCAGATCACAAAGCATTAATGATTAATTTGAATGAATCAAACCGATCCAGTTTTCAAGTTCATCTGACTGACTCAATGAGCTGATCACAGCAGTTATGAGTTAACTTATAAATTAAAAAGACTTGGCTCTACACAAGTCTTTTGTTTTAAGATTAAAGGCCCCAGTCTCCATTTATTGTAAATGCATGGAAATTTTGTGTTCAACAGAAAAAAGAAAGTCATTCAGGTTTGGAACGTTGTGAGAATATAAATTTTTGGATGAACATTTCCTTTTAGTCAATTAAAATAAATAAAAAAGTTAAAGTGGCTTTTGCCAAGTGAACATCTGAGGTAACAGACAAGCAGAGCAATCGATTGCAAAAGAGACTCAACCTTGAGCTTGACCCTGTCTGTAACCTTCACAAGTTTCTGTCTCTCATTTTGATGAAATAGCATCCAAACTTTTGCTAGGTGCAGAAATAAAAGCTGTTACAGAAGCGATTTACAACAGCGGCCTTGAGGTTTTATAAACTTTCTTGCCAGATGGATGAGGGAGATGAAAATGTGAGTTTTCGAATGCAATACACTAATGAGCTCCACTGTTGTTACTTCACTAACGCAAAATCTGAGCGAGTCTAATTTGCCATTTGTACCATTTGTATGTTTTAATGCGTAAGTTTAGTTTAACCACTGCCAAAACAACCACTGACTGATGAAATAATAGTGAAATGTGGTAATAAGCACATTCCTGCTTTTCTTCTAGAGAGGAGTTGGAGAGATTTGCACATAATGGAACCCTGAGCCATCTGATCGTGTGCTTCTCCAGAGATGAGCCTGATGCAGCGGGAACTGTTAACAGTCCAACATATGTCCAGCATAACTTGCGTCTCCATGCTAAAAATGTTGCCAGCATCCTCCTCAAAGATAAAGGCTGTCTCTATGTCTGTGGGTGGGTACAAAATATAAATGGCTTGACTTTGTTTACCATGTGTAACGTCACATTTTGCTTACCAGGAATGAGACAATATCTCACGATTTTACAGGGATGCAAAGAACATGGCAAAGGATGTGAATGACACACTACTGGAGATCATAGGAAATAAACTTCAAATCGATATACTGGATGCTATGAAGATAGTAGCAGGACTTCGTGAGGAGAAGCGATATCTACAGGACATCTGGAGTTGAGAAAGCACACATACAGAACACAAACAAATATCGTAATAAGTGTCTTATTTGTGGACAGATTTACTAGCTACTTTTTGGCTATGTTATTTCATATCTACACAACAGGTTTTACTGAGTGATAGCCAAACTCATTAACCAACTGCCTTTCAACTGCCTTAAGTCTCAAGGCTTTTCCCCTCCTTTTCAAGTATTTTAAAAGCTTTTAGTGAATTATCTGAAGGTATGGTTAAACACACTTAGATTAGATATGTTTGGTCAAAACGTTTTAACTGTGCCTTTTATGCTATTATTAAAGAGGAGTCCCACATAACCGTTTCATTCTTTGAGGACGGTTTCTGTAGGGTTTAGATACAGCTCAGGTAAAATATACATAATGCATCAGACTCGGAAGGCAGGAGGATGCTAGAAACGAGAAACCAAAACATGACAGACTGGATGGGAAAACTGTCAGAAGCTGCCAAATCCAGGATCAACTGCAGCATTTCCGTGTTTTTCTATTCCAACAGTTTTTTTAAGATTAGAGAGGATACTCTAGAGCAGGGATCCTCAAATCTGGCCCACGAGATCCACTTTCCTGCAGCGTTTAGCTCTAACCCTAATCAAACACACCTGAGCATGCTAATCAATGTCTTCAGGATCATTAGAAAATCACAGGTAGGTGAGTTTGATCAGAGTTGGAGCTAAACTCTGCAGCGCATTGGCCCTCCAGGGCAAGATTTGAGGAACCCTGCTCTAGAGTCATCCATTTTCTTCCCCCCCCAAAAAAACATTTTGCTATTTAGGTTTGAAATTCACCTCCGGTACCCCCAGCATTTATATCAGTCTGGAGAGTTGGCGAGTCTATTGTTACACACCGATATTTTGTTAAACCTGTCAGGCTACGAAAACATGTTAAATAATAGTCTTTACCATAATATCTTTACTCACTGTAAGTAGGCAAAAGTAGTATTTAACAGACTGTCATTTTATGGCAATGGCTGGTAACAATTCTTCATAAATGTCTAATTTTGTGTTCCACAGAAAACAAAGTTTGACATATACAGGTGCATCTCAATAAATTAGAATGTCATGGAAAAGTAATTTATTTCAGTAATTCAACTCAAATTGTGAAACTCGTGTATTAAATGAATTCAATGCACACAGACTGAAGTAGTTTAAGTCTTTGGTTCTTTTAATTCACCATATTCTAATTTGTTGAGATAGTGAATTGGTGGGTTTTTGTTAAATGTGAGACAAAATCATCACAATTAAAAGAACCAAAGACTTAAACTACTTCAGTCTGTGTGCATTGAATTTATTTAATACACGAGTTTCACAATTTGAGTTGAATTACTGAAATAAATGAACTTTTCCACGACATTCTAATTTATTGAGATGCACTTGTAAGTGAGTACATAACATTCACTGTGTATTTCAATAAAAAAAAAATTAAAATTGGAAAACTTACATCGTGTCATTCAGTGATCTGATACCCTATAGAGTGCAACAGTTGGGTTTCAAAATTAAAAACTCCATTCATTTTCTCCATAGGGAATTATATTTTTATCAATAACTTGTAAACTTTTAAAGACAGACCTGTTAGCTCTGTTAATTGATGGAATATACTTTTGTTGATGCCATGTGTTCGTATTATTTCATCTTATTTTTAAAGGTGCCATAGAATGCATTGATACAATATTTTAAATTGGTCTCTGAGATCTTCATAGAAGGTATGTGGCTTAGGTAAGGGCAAACGTATTAATATGCGGGGCATTGAAACTGCTTTCGAATGCACGATGGCTTTTTACTTTTACTTTTGAGATTTGCGATCGCACGTGCTCTGTGTAATCTACAGCGTCAGTACTTACCACACATTTTACAAGATCAGATGCTTGCCAGTGGTGCTCAGGATCTGTAAATCATTCGCCATCATCCTCAGTCATCTCTCCTTACTCTGTTTATGTGGTAAGTGAA